CAGTCTTTGTAAGAAGTTGGTGAAGATTTCCTTTAGGACCTGTATATTTTTAGTACATGACTCAATTTTCTTTCCTACGTCTCCAATTCTGTCCCAATCATTCAATGCTGCTGTTCAGGACAAATCAAGGGTGTGGTCATCATATAGAGAGTGCCTTGTACATCAGAATAATCTCCCTCTCCAAGAAGTTGATCTTGGGAGATTTCCATACTTCCAGCCCTACTTCATTTTTTCAATGGTCTTAGCCTCATCTTTCCACCAGGTCTTCCATTGTAATTGAGGACCAGGCTCCAAGACTGCTGTAACTAAGTCTTTCCAGTTTCTAGGGATCATTCTATTACAAGTTGACCAGGAGCTTAACATCTGTTTCACAAAAGGTGAATGCATTCCATATGAGACTAATGCTTCTTTGAATCTCCTTAAATCTAACATTTCCACAGGAGTCCATTTAACTCTTGCATAGCTTGGAGTCTCTATCATTTGGCAGTTGTTCTTGTAAGGTGACTGGATAAATTAAAGTTGGTTGTTTGAAAACCTTAGACTGTTCCTCTCTAACCTTATAATGCAATGCTGAAATTGGTTCTTCATTAAATTCCTTTGTCTGGATCTGAATATCTCTATGATCTGTCTTATTAATTTTTTCTAAAACTTGTATCTTAACACTCATATTAACCAACTTTTATAGTGATAAAGCAAAAATGATAAAACTGATAGTTTATAATTGACATTACATAAGTCCCATCTAAATTAGTTATCCTCTCATTTAATCATTCCATTTTCAAACTGTCCACTGTATTACCATACAGAGACCTATATCCCTCCATTTTAATAGTCCCCCCCCTTTTTTGATTTTTCAAAACTAGGCTTCTCTGTCTAGGTTGGAACCTGTCCTGGAACTTGCTCTGTAGACCAGGCTGGCCTCGAACTCACAGAGATCTGTCTGCCTCTGCCTCCCGAGTGCTGGGATTAAAGGCGTGTGCCACCAACGCCCGGCCTCCAATTGTTTTAATGTGGAACAAAACTATGTTTTTTAATTCATTCCTCCCTTTAAGAATCCCCAATTGTTTTTATCACGTCTGCCAACAATGACAGTGAACTGTGAGCTGTGGCATGTCTGCGTGGAGAACACAGGCAGTGGCCTGACTGAGGACAGCTGCAGCTGCTAGGCCACGGGGCAGAGGGAGCCAGATGTCTGAAACGTGCACATGGGATTGTGCAGAAGAAACACATTTGACAGGAGCTGCCTGAAGGCAGAGCCAGCTGGTCTAGGGTGCGTAAGTCTTGAGGCTTTGGGAGCCTGGGTAGTTCTGGAATTTGATGGCAGCTGGAGACTGTTTTAGAGAGGCTACAACAGGAAAATCCCAAACTAACTCAGAGTCTTGGGGAAAAAAGAAAGTAAACCTAGCTTTGCGGGGTGGTGATTGGGATGGGAGCCCCGTGTGCAGCTCTGGCCTGTGCTAGTGGACGCAAAGCCACAGGCAAACAGATTTTGCATGAATTCATGCCTTTATGTTGGGCCCTAGTATATAACAGGACTTCTAATAAGTCTTAATAATAAAAACCTGGAGTCATTTATTAGGGGGTGAAAGCTGAAAGATCAGAGTAGCAGCACAACCAGCCACTAGACCTCTTACTTCTGTGAAACCCTCAGACTGAAAAGAGACAGAGTACTTGTCTCATCTCCCCTATATTCATCTCTTTGCCCAGCCATCTCATTTCCTGTCTCTGTATAGACCTCCAGACCTCTATGGTTAACTAGGGGCTAGCTCTGCCCTCTGATCTTCAGACAAGCTTTATTTGTTAGAGTACAAATGAGATATCACTACAGAGGGATAGAAATGATAAAATAAAATGGTAGGTTATCAAATCTACTTTAATCCAAAAAACAACTATTTTGGGGGGGGCATTCGAGACAGGGTTTCTCTGTGGCTTTGGAGCCTGTCCTGGAACTAGCTCTTGTAGACCAGGCTGGTCTTGAACTCACAGAGATCAGCCTGCCTCTGCCTCCTGAGTGCTGGGATTAAAGGCATACAGCACCACCATTGGGCTATTGATACAAATTTAAAGGTAATTTTATTATACTGTATATATATTGCTACTGTTGTTTATGTAGCTCATTTAAAATGTAATGTACAATTTAAAAATATAGATTAATAGTCATTTATAATAGTCAAACTTATAATCATGTTAGGTATGTTTTCAAGGTCATACACAGATATATTTATATAAATAGATTGTCTTCAAACACTTCAAAGACCTACAGAATATGGCATTTAATATGTTTTAATAGTCTAAGGATTTTCATGACAGTGAGACACATCTGCTCCTGGCAGCACCAATCTACTTCAGAGAAGAAGATGGGCATCAAAGAAACACCATGTGGAGTTTATTTTCTTTATGGCAGAAACTAGCCATCTGGGCAAAGTAACCATCCTTGCCTCAATTGCTAACAATATACTGTCCAAACTGTTCTAGTAGGGTGAAAGAAAGGTGACTGCTGAACTTTGCCACAAGAAGGTAGGACAGTCCTTCAGAATTCCTGCTTCTCAGGAAAGCCTGTCAGATGTGCTAGGCCTGCAGGCCAGAGCTGGATGCCCCAGCATTACAGAGGAACTTTGGGTGACTGTCTAGGCAGCCTGATGTCCCTGTTGTTATGTAACATTTCTTCCTTCTGGGGTCTTTGATGGAGTTAAATACTAAATAGTTAAACCTACAGTTTTCCTTAGTTATGATAGAAAGCAAATTAGGTATAAAATTTAGACTCCCCAAGATAAGATAGATAGCAACTATTTTCTCTAATTTTGCCAAATACAAATACACTGCATATTGTAACTGCAATTCTTACTTGATAACTGTTTTTGTTGTATATAATTTATAAAGTTAAAACCTTCTTTTTTAATTAGACAAAAAGGGGAAAATTCTGTGGACAGGAAAACTCTGCCTACAGTTGTCTGTTTTTCCTGTGTCTTTAATATTTTACATCTCTTTATCTTCAGTCATCGCAAACTGTTGCCTAGAATATCCCTCCTTTTCCTCTGCCTAGACAGACATTTTCCTTTTGTGTGTGTCTGTGTGCATGTTGTACATGTACGCATGCATGCATATGCATGTGAGGCCTGATGTCAACGTCAGGCGCCTTCTTCAGGCCTCCTTTCTTCTTTTTTATTTAAGTTATTTGTACATATGAGTGCTCTATCTGCATGTCTGCCTGCAGGACAGAAGATGGTGTCAGATCCCATTACAGACAGCCTTGAGTCAGTCTTCTCGTTTTTTTTGTTTGTTTGTTTGTTTGGGTGGTTGATTTTGGGTTTTGGGTTTTTGAAACAGGGTTTCTCTGTGTAGCCCTGTCTGTCCTGGAACTCACTCTGTAGACCAGGCTGGCATCAGACTCACTGAGGTTGGCCTGTGTCTGCCTCTCAGAGTGCTGGAGTTTTAAAGGTGTGTGCCATCACCTGTCAGAGCCAATCTTCCTTATAGAAACTCTTCTTGAGCTTAGGTAGACCTTTTTCTTTCTAGTGAATTCCATGTGAAGTTTCTTGCCAGCAGGCCAATAACGCACTCTTAAGTTTCTATAACTTCAAACTTTATCATTTCCTTTCTGTTAAAAGGTCTCTGGAGAGCCTGGTGTAGTGGCTACTGTCTTTAATCCCACAGCAATTGAAGGAGGCAGAGGCAGGCGGATCTCTGTGAGTTTGAGGCCCGTCTGGTCGGCAGAGTGAATTCCAGTACAGTCAGGGCTACACAGAGAAACCCTGTCTGGAAAACAAAACAAACAAACAAACAAAAAATCTCTGGAAAACTGATGATAGTATTATCTATCAGTTTCCTGTGATTTTCACAACAAATGACAACACTTGGTAAAGAGAAATGTATTCTGTCGCAGTTCTGGAGATCAGACATCTGCAGTCAGATATCTTCTTGGCCCTTTGACTAATGTCATGTGAAGAAGTCCATGGTCATGCTGTGGGTGAGGCCAGGCCACTAAAGGCTCCAGGAGGAAATCCTTCCTTGTCTCTTCCAGCTTTTGGTAGGTTTTGGCTTGTGGTTGTATGACTCAAATCTCCACAGTCATCTTTATCTTGATGGGGTCTTCCCCTGATCTCCTGTCTGCTGAGGCCCAGGCTTGATTTGAAATCACTGCATGACCCAAGCTAAGAATTTGAGACAGCTCTCTTACCTCTGACTCCCAAGGGCTGGTATTATCAGTATGAACCACCTCATCTGCTTTAAGAGTCTTTAATTCTTTAAAGACCTTTCCCAAATCAGTTCATGTCTCTAGTATTCAGGGACCAGGGTATGAAAACCTTTGGGAACTCCACTCTCCACTCATCCCACTCATGTTATTTTATAGATGAGGGAACTTTGGTTGACAGAGATTAGAGTGTTGCTTCAGGCAAACTAGACCACAGAGCGCTGCCCTCTGGAGAGGGAAGCAGACTTAACCTCCTGAAGAGGTCTTGCCAGATGCTAACCATTTCTGCTTTCCTTACATTTGTAAGGGACAAGTCAATTTGTTCATCACCAGGTCAGTTTCTAGTTTCAGATGGGCCTCACCAAGCAAAGCGTTATGTTACATTACATCATCAAGTTAAGATCTGCTGTCCTATCCCAGAGACATTAGGTATGGGACAATTGAAACTCATGGCTTTATCCTAACCAATAAATTTAACTTCAATAATGGATTCCCTAAAAAGGAACAGTGGAAAAGGGCCCGTGTTTTCTCTCTGGCGAGATTGTTTCTTTAGTGCTTGTCACTGAACATAAGATTGGAAGACTGAGAAACCTGGAGGTAAGAGATTATAAGTCTGGATAATACACCATGTCAAATACAAGATTTCAAATCTTGTGATGGAGCATACTTTGTCTCAATGCTTAGAAGGTAGAGACAGGAGAGTCAGGGGTTCGAGGCAAGCCTTGGCTGCATAAAACCCTGCTAAAAATACTGCTCCCCCAAAGGTTGCAAATCTCTTGTGAGAGGAGTCTACCAGGTTTTTGGTCCTTCAGCTCAGAGATGGATCTGTGGTTGTGGAGCTGGCTTCATAGGGATTCTTCACCAACTTCACACACCGAAAAACCATCAGTATCAGAAAGAGTAACACAAAGACAAGGAAGGCAATGGCAAAGCCTTTGTCCACATCGATGCCATCGGATAGGCTGGAGTCTTCCATGAGGACACACACCTCTTACTGTCTTCCAGACACCGATACCTCCTCAGGTATTTTTTCAGATTTGTCATATTTCTAGAAAATAAGAGCATAAACAAATTCTTTTTTTCTTTTTCTTTCTTTTTTTTCGAGACAGGGTTTCTCTGTATTGTTTTGGAGGCTGTCCTGGAACTCCCTCAATAGACCAGGCTGGCCTTGAACTCATAGAGATCTGCCTCTGCCTCCCCAGTGCTGAGATTAAAGGTGTGCGCCACCACCGCCCGGTCAAATTCTTTTTTTTTTAAAGCTTGTATGTGCTTGCATTTCCTCACTAGCAGCATGTGGAAAAACTAAAGGAACCAAGGGTTGAAAAAATGATCAAGATTTATTTAAGAGCCAGGCCTGGTGGCACACACCCTTGATCCCAACACGCAGGAGGCAGAGTCAGAATGATCTCCATGAGTTCAAGGCCAATCTGGTCTACATAGCAAGTTATAGGTCAGCTGGAGCTACACAGTAAGACACTGTCCCAAAAACAAGAATAAAAAATCCTCAACACTCCAATTCTGTATCCCTTCCTGAATTTTCTTCTGATTCCTAGGATACCTATAATTTGTGTAGGTTTTTTTAAAACAGGATCTCACTGTGTAGCCCTGGTTGGCCTTGAACTCATGGAGATCCTCTTGCTTGTGACTTTTTTTTTTGATATAGGGTTTTATGTATGTGTATGCCATGTGTGTTTGCTGTCTGTGGAAGCCAAAGGAGTAAATCATATCCCCTGTGAGGCTCAGAATCATCCATCCAGATACTGGAAACCCAACTTAGTTCCCCTGAAAGAGCAGCAAGTGTTCTTAGCCACTGAACCATCCCCCTGGGCCTGCTTGTGTTATCTTCGCTCAACGGGCATTAGTACAACATTGTCTTTGTTTGATCACTGCTTACTATACCATCATTCTAAATTCTTTGTGAAAAATCATGTACATCCAAACATCAATTTCAATTATAAAAACCTGGCTCATCAGGGCTAAACTTGATTGCCCATCAGAACTAGATGGTGAGGAACAATCACCGGAGATACTGTAGGTCACAGGACATAGAAAAATCTGGACCGGAAATGGAAAAGCCCTCCTTGCTGCCTGTCTTTCTAAGTTTCTAAGTTTCCTAAGCAGACTTCTGGGGATTGGGGGGTTATCAAAAATGGCTCAGTGATCAAGAGCATTATTGCTCTTGCAAAGAAACTGGGCTTGTTTCCCAGCACTGGAGTGGCAGATGACAATCAGCTGTAAATCTAGCTCTGGGGAACCGACACCATCTCCTGGAAAGTCTAAACACATGGTACACATATATTCATGCAAGCAAACTTCTACACACATTTTAAAAAGCTTTAAGTTTTACCCACTTATGAGATCCTATGTATGCACAACCAAAGTGCCAGTTATGGTGTGTTCACTGGTGATAGGCTGTTATGGGGGCAACTGATTGCTTTCTGATTAAACTTGAGGCACATTCCACAGGGCTATGGGTGGTGGTGGTGTAATGATTTGAGCTTGGTACTGTAAACCTGGTCAGAATCCTGTAACTAGGGACATCATAGACTGTATCATGAAAGCTACTACTGTTGTTTTGTTAAACAGACTTGTTGTGCGCATCAAGCTACTTTCTAAGTATTTATGTTTATGCTCCTAGGTTGGTGCTTCTCTTGGCATTGAGAGGAGAAGGCCCATTTTGCAGTGGTTTGCAGTTACTGCGGAGACTCATAATTGATCCAAGTGCTAAGACTGAGTGACTATTTAGTGACCAGCCCTAAAAGGGACACCTATATCACCCCCTCCAAGATTCAGAGAACACTGGGGAAGATAACCTTCAAAGAAAGTAGGAGCCATGGGACAGGAAGGAAGCCTGTCTTTTGCACATGGTATGACTGTTGAATTCATGACTCCAGATCGGCTGTGGTCATGTGTCCAAGACCCAGATGAAACTGCATCTGTCAACACCATCATGGAGACAGGCTCATGAGGCCCACCCCTCCCTGAGAAGCAATCGGCAGTTAGTGGTTGCTAGGTGAGGGGAGACATTTCTTGCTAGTAAGTTGTCAATGTTCTGGTAAATAATTTCCACCAGTACATAAGCAGCTCTAATTAAACTCAAGGGGTGTCATACAGACTTGCATAAGTATGCACGTGAGTGTAGAAGGGAGATTAGACGAATAGGTTCAGGCGGTGGGGAAAAGGCACAAGTGAAGGTGATGGAGTGGAAATTACCAAAATACAGTATACGAATCTATGGAATTATCAAAAAAATCAGTTGACCAAACTTTAAAAAGAAAAACACGTGCTCTATCAAAACAGTTTCTTGAGATGGTGATGTAGCTCATTGGGTAGAAGCTAGCACATGCCTGCAGGCTCAGCACTTCAGAGGTGGACACAGGAGGATCAGGAGTTCAAAGTCATCCACCTACATAGCTATGATTTAGACGGATGTCTAATGCATTATGATAAGTGGAAGAATAGCAAAACCAAAGCCAAACCCAGAAGATTGCATGATTCCAATCCAATCCTTCTTTTTTTGATTTTTCGAGACAGGGTTTCTCTGTGGCTTTGGAGGCTGTCCTGGAACTAGGTCACAGAGATCCACCTGCCTCTGCCTCCTGAGTGCTGGTATTAAAGGTGTGTGCTACCACCTCCTGGCCCTCTTTATATATTTTTTAAGATTTATTTTGTATACACTGTTCTGCCTGCAGGTATGTATACACTCCAGAAGAGGGCACCAGATCTTATTATATAGATGATTGTAAAACATTATATGGACATTGGGAATTGAACTCAGGACCTCTGGAAGAGCGGCCAGTGCTCTTAACCACTGAGCCATCTCTCCATTCTGTATTTCTTTGTATGTTAAAAACAACAGCAACAACAACAAAAGCCGGCCAGGCGTTGGTGGCTCATGCCTTTAATCCCAGCACTCGGGAGGCAGAGGCAGGTAGATCTCTGTGAGTTCGAGGACAGCCTAGTCTACAAAGTGAGTTCCAGGACAGCCTCCAAAGCTACAGAGAAACCCTGTCTCAAAAAACAAAAGAAGCTGGGCGGTGGTGGAGCACGCCTTTAATCCCAGCACTCGGGAGGCAGAGGTAGGCGGATCTCTGTGAGTTCGAGGCCGGGCTGGACCGATAGCCTCCGAAACAATACAGAGAAACCCTGTCTCATAAGAACAAAACAACAAAAGCCAATAAAAAGCTGAGAATAGAGAAATCTACAGAAAGGGAATAGAATAATTATTGCTAAGGCTGGAGTTGAAGAGACAGGGTTTCTTTTTGAGTTGATGAAGATGTAAAATGTGATGCTAATGATGATCGAATTATATACAGTTTGGATGGTCAGAGTGTGTGTCAATTTTGTATCTATGAAATTATGTAAAAAAAAGCCCAGCTGTTTTAAATTCTTGGTTTTATAGATGATTCAGATTTTCACAGCTCCTCTCCCTCTTGAGGCCCCAGCTCCTCCAGGAAGAAGGAACCCAGAGAAAGAAACCCAGAGAAATTTAACTGTTTCTCACTTAATGAACTCAGTGTGGCTACAGTGAGTCAACCAGCTGGTTGTATTCTGTTTGAGTCGGTTGAGTGAGGGGTATTTGTAGGACTTTTGAGTAATGTTAATCTCCATTCTGTATTGTTCTTAAGGACCCTTTTAAAAATAGCACTGGCCAAACCAGGCAGTGGTGGCGCACGCCTTTAGTGCCAGCACTTGGGAAAGAGAAGCAGGAGGATATCTGTGAGTTTGAGGTCAGCCTGGTCTACAGAGCGAGTTCCAGGAAAGGCTCCAAAACTGCACAGAGAAACCTTGTCTTCAAAAGAAAAAAAAAAAAAACACTGCGTGAGCAGAGTGCAATGTCTCATGCCTCTAATCTCAGCATGATAGAGGCCGGGTGATTCAGAAGTTCTGCTCCTTAGGCCTCATAGCAAGACCTTGTCTCCAACAGTAACACACCTATCCCTCCCCAGAATGGCTCATTGCTGGGTGCAGTGGCCTCCGGGCACCCCTCAGTGTGCTTGGTCCTTCTGAGGTACTTGATACCCTTTAAGTAGAGTTGCTCAACTGAGAGGTTGCAGAATCAGTCATATTTTTTCCCCTAGGCGTATCTCTGCTGGCACTGACTATACCAGTAGCTTCCACCTTCAGAGTCCTCCAGCCAAATGTGTTTGTTGACACAAGATAAACATATACTTCATACTTATTGAACCTTGATTAAAAAGGGCTGACAGGCCCTGGGGGCATGGATCAGTGGGTTAACAAGCTCATCGTGCAAGTATGAGGATCTGAGTCCAGATGCCCAGCGCCCACGTGAAAGTCAGCAGCTGGCACTGTAATCGCAGCGCTGGGGAAAGGAGAAAGGCCGATCTTGGGGTCTCCTGGTCAGCCCGTCTAACTGAATTGGTTACCTCTAGGTTCAGTGAGAGACACTATCTCAAAAGCTAAGGTAGGCGGCTAGAGAGACGTTCAGTGGTTGCGAGCACTTGTTCTTGCAGAGGACCCTGGTTCCAGTCCCAGAACCTACTCTAACTCCAGTTCTAGGGAATCGGAAGACCTCTTTTGACCATGGGCACCAGGTACTTAGATGCTGCATAGACACAAAACACTTATACACATAAAATAAATCACATCTTTAAAAAATTCACCTTTAATTGCAGCACTCAGAAGGCAGAGGCACGTGAATCTCTTACAGGTCAGTCTGGTCTACAGAGTGAGTTCCAGGACAGCCAGGGCTACACAGAGAAAGCCTTTCTTGAAAGAAAAAAAAAATTAAACAAGCAGAAAAATAGCCCCGGCTGACTCAGAGCGTCCTATGTAGACCAAACAGGCCTTAAACTCTCCGCATTGCTGCTGCCTCAGCCTCCAGATACTGGGGTTACAGCCACAGGGCATTCGTTTGTTTGTCTTTGTTTTTATCAATTACAGACACTCTCACACTTTGCCTTTTTCACTTAATAATATTATCTTGGGGGTTGGAGAAATGGCTCAGTGGTTAAGAGCACT